AGGGGCTGAGTCACGACTGGGTTTGCACCCATTGAGCCTGTCTTTTCCTGTTTGCCTGTGATCTGCAGACTGGTGATTGTTCCGATTTTCCCTCCTTTACTTTTTTTTGCTAGGGATGACCTCTAAGGATGCTTCAGGTGAAGCTAATAGTAACTGGAGATGACTTTGGCTATTGTCCTCGGAGAAACCAAGGCATCGTGGACTGTTTCCTGGCTGGTGCGGTATCTAACGTGTCCCTTCTAGTCAACGGAAGTGCTGCAGCAGATGCAGCCAAGCTGGCAAGGAGGTAAGCTACTTTCTTAAACTCTTTTGTGGACAGCCTCCACAGGCGATCCATGGAAAGCCAAGCCTCTAAAGTTCAGTATTTTATAGCCTCAGTATAAACACTGTATCATAGCCCAGGCTGGTATAAGAAAATGGAATTACTAAGATGCTTCATAGTAAAACCAGTGACCTGCCAACCATATCCCATAATGTTTCTTTCGCTGTTATTAGCAACTGCACCTTTTCTTCCTCAGGACAGAAAGCCACTTACACAATTTGACTAGTAGGGTTTGGGTTTGTTGGACTGTCTTTTCTTACACTTATAAAAGATGCACCATCAGAGTGAAAGTCCACACTATATACCCAGACCAAGCTGCTAGCCCTAAAACTATTAGAGCACAAAAGCACAAATCTTTAAATCTCATTTAATTTGATGCATGTCAGCCATGCTGAACACAGGGTCAGAATCAGGGAAAGGTGCGATTCTGTAAGGGCTAAGTTATAAATCTGGGCATTGGAAAATTTGATTTTTCCACCCCAGAAATCTTTTTAAAAAGCACCTCAATATTTCTATTAATTCTAGGCTTGATAAATCCTTTTGTAAAAACTGCATACATAAAGAGAGGGACAATACCTTGTACCTACCACCTTTACTCCTTCATTAGCTTTTCAGAGGTTGCTGCTACAGTTGGCTCTGTAGCAAATCAAATGCTCTGTCTCATTGCTGGACTAGCCCAGTGAATCCTTTAATAGGAAGTATTACTTGTATTTAGAAGGTAAACCCCAGCTAATGCTTCAGCTCCAGTGTGGGCAGGTACTTGGAAGCAGGAGTATGTCCCGAAAGACAGTAGTGGGGTTGAGAAACAATTTAGGAAAGCAGAAAAGGAAATGAGCAGTACTGGTACTAGAAGAACTGAGACCTTATGCTTCAAATACAGCTACTGCAAGGGACAGTCTTATGAGAGTCATGCTGTCCTTGTTCTCCTTGAGCATCTCTCCCCAGTTTGGCTGTGATTTTAGGGGTACTTGGAAATTGTTTGCAGCTTCTAGCTTCTTTGGTGTTGGGTGGTACAGGGTGTGGTGTTAGTGGAAAACTGGTCTTTTGTTAAAAAGGTTAGAGATTACACACAAACATTGAGAGAGGAACTGCCTCTGGGGTGATAAGGGGAGAGGCAGAAGGACACAACACTGATGAGATACCTAAAATCCTGTTAGTTAATGAAACAAATGAAATGTAAAACACTAAGATAAAGATAGCACTTCTCTCAGACACAGAGGCACCATGAAACCTTTTAAGCCCCAATACTCTGGTAATGTCAGCTATTTTAGCTATGGTCTTTACTAGGCTTTTAAATATAGAATCCACCTGGCCTCATTTCCATAGCCAGAAAGTAGGCCATGTAATCAGAGGTTTAAAAAGCATCTTTGAATCCAGGTCATGACACTTGTGCTGACAGCTGATACGGGTGTGAAAAGCCAGGTTGGAGGGCAGATGACAGCAGAAGCTGCAACCTGCTGCTACAATTTCATTCTTTTGGGGATTACTTTTGAATTGTAAATGTAAATGAAATTAATTTCAATCTATTTCTGAGAATATAAGCAGAGTGACTTTGGGAACATCTGTCAGCCCTGAAGATCAACAGCCCAGGTTCTGCAATTCTTCATTTGAGTAACTCTGCACAACTGTATTCAGCCCTACCCATGCATGGGGGAAGCACTTGCAGGTTTGGGGCAAAGGGTTGGTCATATTCTAATACAAGCCCCACTTCAGGTGCAGCTAGTACACGTGCACTTAATTGGCATCTGTGCACGTAAACAAACTCATCACCCTTAAATATTTGTTCTTCTGTTGCAAAGGTTCACACAAACTTTTTTTTAAACACAAATGTCTAATAGATCAGACTCACCAGAAGTGTCATTGAATCCTCCTCATCTTGTGATGCAAAAATAAGACAGTATCACTGTTGATTGACTGCCTTGCCACTGTTATTCCCTCTTCCCCCTGCTTGTGGGGAATATGCAGTGCTGTAAGCAGGGAGACTGGATCTATCACTGGCTGAGAGAAGAGGCTTGAAGCAAGTAGCTTGTTCTTTCCGGTGGTACATTCCAGCATTGTGGAATTTGGTCTTTTGCACACATGATGCCAGGATTGTCAGAGTGCTGGACTGTTTCTATGGCCTGTGGAGATTATCTAGGTTCTTCTTGATTAACTGTCTATGACATGGTTGCTTGCCACTGCAGGTCTTGAGCTCTATCTCCTCACCTGGTCTTCAGTTAATTGGACACACTCAAAGCTTATTAGTAACAAGACAACTTTTTTTGCAGGATAGTCCTTAAGCACCTCATGCTGCTGTGCAGTGTTAGGACTCAACATCCTTCAGAAAGGAACACAGTTCCTCTGGAATTTCATTCTTCCCTTCACAATAATTCTGTATAGGCTTCTGGGTATACCATCTGTTGCCCTGTGTTTTGATTAGAAGCCTTGGCAGAAGTATGACGGTAGTCAGCAGATCTCTGTACCAGCTCTAGCACAAACTAATAGCAAAACAGCAGAACCAATCAGTAAATAATACACCTTCCCTAACATCTAGGTTCTGGACCTTGAGCTTTCACTGTCTCAATGGGGCTAAAAGAAGGGACCCACTCACTTCAGGCAAAAGAGAAGTTTCAGCAGAGGCCTAATTCATTATCAAATGACAAACCTATTGATAGCAACTGCTAGAGCAGTACATAACCAGAACAGCAGGTGGGAGAACAGACTTCCATTGCGTTTTGTTGGGTGTTTGTTTTTTTTTTTTAGTAACTCAAAACTTTTCTCTTAATGAGGTATAGGCTGACTGTAACTTCCCAGTTATCCATATAATATAACCTTGATTTTCTACTTATCAAGCCCCATCTTGAAGTCAGCCAGTCTTACTGGTGCTTATTCCAGAGCCTTTCCCAGAGGATGGAAGGGTTATTTTGTTACCTGAAATAAGTCCCTTAATTTTTCCTTAGAAATATGGAGATAGCAGAAATAGAGACCCCTAAGATTGTTTGCTGCCATATTTTTCCCCTTTTATCAACCAGCTCAGTTGTGACTGAGTTTTAGGACCCTTTTCCATATGATTATATCCACATACTTGATGAAGAGTGACATATTTTAGAACACAACCTCAGTCTTCCTGGGTTTTTTGCAGTTTAAATGCTGAACATCAGCTACACAAAAGCTGAATCCCCCACAACATGTGGGTATATTTAACAGAAGAATCCAGCAAAACCACATGTAATTGCTGTCTATGTTTTCACTTCCTTTCCCATCAACACTAATTGCAAAATATGTGTGTAAATTGTGACAATTCTGACCCTCCCAGTCAACATCTGACTAATCTAGATGTCTCTCATGCTTTCTCATAACCCTTTTATCTGACTGTTAATCACAAGGCAGACAGTTCTACTGCTGAACTGTGTTTGGATTGGGAGTGGGGCCCAATCTGAGGTCTTGAACTAGAACCCCAGATCATATTAACTTTACTGGCAGCAGCACTTTTTGCAGATATAAGGCCATGGACACAGGAGCTTCAGCTGATACAAAGGTGTAATTAAAAAGAAAGTCACATCCCTAAACACAGCTCTTAACTCTGCAGAGGCTTTGGAGTGTTTCTTCCAGCAGAAATAAGTCCTTAGCAGCAATGGAGCAAGACAAGATGCTATTTGATGAAAGACAGTTGGCTTTTATGGTTTGTTGAAGGGTGAAAGTGGAGGGGGGGGGGAAAAAGTATGCAAATGTCAACATGGAAAAACTAAGAGGTATGCTTTTTCACACAAAGCACACCCTTGCTTTGTCTGGCTTTAGACACTTGGATGTCTACTGAAGCAGGATGTCTAGATAACAGATATTTACAGATATTTATGCTCTTAATTGTATCACACTTGGGCTGTAACCTAATGAACTAGTAATTTTCCGGATCAGGATACAAACAGGATGCTGAATGTGGGATCTGTTTACCCATCAAGGAAAAGGGTAAGTGCCATGCTTATGCCAGAGCACACGTCCTTCAGCAAGACAATTGGGACTGGGCTCAGTGAATCATGTAATTCCCACAGCCACTGCAACTGCTCCCAGGACTGCACAGAGTCCAGGCCGTGGTCAGGCAGGACCCAGGGCACTGTTTCTCATCCACTAAGCTCAGAAATGTGCAAAGCTGGTGGGCACTGTAAAGAGTGACTCAGTATAGTAACAGTCTCCAGGGACCCTTTACTGCTAAGGATATGAATGAACAGGGATTGCAACTGCACAAAAGCCCATTGCCTCAGCAGAGACATTTGTTCAGAGCACTTGTGTGGCAAAACAAGCAACTACTTGAAAAGGAAGCAGTTTAGCTGATTGTATTTCCTCTCTCTATTTGATAACTGGGCTGGGCTTGTTGACTCAGAAATCTTTCCAGACTGAATTCCTTGTTGCCCCGTGTAGCATTTGTTGTAAGGGTATCTCTTTTTTTTGTCTCCCCCAACCACCCCCAGCAGATGCTGAGCAGAAAAACCACAGAGCCAGGCTGGCTTTAATAGCCAGCTTTCTTGTCAGTGGAAAGAACTCACTAATGGACTAACCTTAGTGGCTGCAGAAGCTACTGGCCTGAACCTCTTTTCAATAAGCTCAGAGACAGCCCAGTCTAACGCTCCTTATACTATAGGAGCACACACTTGTAGACATTGTCCTTTGGCTTTATCAGGAGTGAACTGAACCCTTCTGCTAAATCCTGCTTCACATCTGTGCATTCTCCAGGGCAGTGGGACAGACTTGCAAACACCTAGACATGGGCCTCTCAAAACAGATTGTGGAAGGGTCATTGCTGCTTAAAACAACCGCCAAAATGAGTTTAGAGAGACCTCAGCACCATTTTGTGTTGGCTCACCCTGTCCCATCTGTAAAGGGCTTAGGCAGAGGAGCAGGTATGAGGCCAAACCCACAACAACCAAGCTCTGTTCCCAGTGTGGCATCATATGCTATATAAGCTGCTTGAGCTGCTGGTCTCTGCTTCAGTATTTCAGCCAATGAAATAGCATATACTTTACAGTCTTTGAAAAGATATGGGCAACTATAAAGTATGTTTATGTAACAGAAACAATCATCTGCCCTCTGAAAAAGGGGCCCTTCCAGGACATTCCCATAACTTGACTTTTCTCCCTGCCTTTTTTATGATACAGCATGCCTTGGCATTGCTGTTTGTTTGCAGAAGCCACATTTCAGTGGTGAGAGGCACTCAGGAGCAAGAGTTAGTCCAGTGTGTGTGGTCATCAGTGGGGAAAAAGCCTGTTGGTTCAGTCTTAAAGCCCAAGCCTTTGGTCAGGACAGAGCATGATTGCAGTCCTGTCTCCCAAGGTACAGCCCAGCTAACTACTATAATGTTTTAAGTTTTGGTCATGTTTTTATCTCATTGCACTTAGGACTTCAGATACTCCTGCAGTGTCAGGACTGTTAGAAATGAACACTGGGCAGCAGGATATTTGGTGCTGAATAGGAGCACCATCTGGCTCATTCCACCCAGAGGAAACACACACATTTAGGTACAGGAAAATGCTTCCTAGCAGCAGAACCCTGTTGCGCCTGGTGTGTTGTCCTCCTTCCCATATCCTTACAGCTTTCCCAGCATGCCTGCATCTGTGCATCTCTGAGATTAATGTTTCTGAACAAGTTTCTCACGTGCTGCGTTTTAAGTTTTGGTTTCAGTCCCTGTATCCCAAAGCCATTAAATACTAGCAGTTCCTCTTTAGATGCCTCAGCATCGACAGTCTGTCAAACCAGCAAGGACTAACTCTAAGAGAAAACTATTAAGATATTCAGCTGGTGTTAGCCAAAGCTCTGAAATGTGCTCTAATATTACAGTCGGAGTCTCCTCTTACAGCAAGAACAAGGCCAGCTCTTTCTGCACATTTCCCCAGCTCTGGGGCTGGTTTCAGCTCAGGCAGAGGAGCTGCTCTAATGTTACACAGTGCAGTGCTTGGCTCCTTGGTGTCCCACACCTGTCAGAGAGGCTTGACTTTTCCTGGAAATAGCTTCCCTCACAGCATTTGAGGCATTGCACAATTGGAGGTGGTTCATTTGATGCTCCTGGGAGACAACGCCAAGAGGCTCAGCTGTTCACTTCTTGCCATCCCACAACACATGAGAAGGAGAGTGCTCAACAAAGAAAGTCTTCCATCTGCTGACTCATGGTAACACATGAAACCTTTTTCTTGCAGATGGCAGTGGCTGTGGTACAAATAATGGTATCAGCTGATGCAGTCAGAGCTTCCCAGGGACATGATAAAGAATCTGGGGTTGATTTCTAAAAAAAAAAAAAAACAAACCCCAAACCCCCAAATCAAAACCACAGGCTCCCCCTCTGCCTTTGAGCTCACGCACAGTACACAGCAGGTCACAGGATGGAGGGGAAACCCTCCTGCCACAGCACCCCTTCTGTGCTGTAGCTGCATCCTGGTCTGCCATCAGCTGCCTGCTTAAGGCCCCCCACTCCCAATGACAGCATCTTACAGTTCTTTTTTTAGCAAGGAGTTAGTGTGCACATGTCATGTGCTCAGGCCCCATGTTTGAAAACCAGATGAAGATTTATCACCAATTATACAATCAGGCCCTGCTGCAGAGAAATCACCAAATCAGAAAAGCCAGAGATGACCTTTCTCTCCACAAGCTGTTTTGCTCCATTAAGCAAACATTCAAGCTCCCTAATCACACAGTGGACTGGAAAGACATGGACTCATTTTGTTTCACAGAGCTGTCCATACAACTTGACTCATAACATTTGTGTCTTTGAGAAGGAGCAGTATCTAGCAACAGACTACACCATCCACCTGGAGCACAAGACATGGAAGAGGCAGGAAAAAAAGACTTTCAGTCCTGCCAGGGCCAAAGCCTTAGGACTTAAAGGAGCTAAATGACTCTGACTTGGTCCAATCCATCCACAATCCTTCTGTCCCCAGTAACTTGGTGCTTCAGTAGTCAGCTTCAGGGCAGCAGACAGAAGAGGAAGATCTGTTTTTTGCACACTTTGTCTAAATGGAGATTGCTTTTGTTTTCCTCCTTGTGGTACAGGGACAGACCATGGCCAGTTTTAGCAGCTCCATGCAGAGATTCTAGGAAGGATTTAAAGCATCACAGACTTGTTGCCTTGAAATTAACCTTGCACCATGACTCAGACTGGGCAGCACAGAAGGAGCATTGCAGTTCTGTCACCTACGGGGTCAGCCAGCGGTTGTCTTTGAAAAGTTTCAAAGCATCATTTTGGCCACTGATTCTGAGGATTTTCAGAAGTGCTAGTGAAACTCAGCACAAATCTGAGCGCTCACAGGTCCTGTTTTTACTGTAGGGGAATCCACAGCACAGACCAAGAAGGATACACCAGCCCTGTAGCTGAGAGGAGCTCTTCAGATACACTAGCTCCATAGTTTGTTGTTGGTTTTTTTAATATTGCAGAATGCAACTACTTAACAAATTGGACCCTTGTGATTCCTTAACAAGGCTCTACGCTTACACGGCCAACCTCCCTGCAGTAATCCTTCATCTGTGCCAGAAAGATGCTACTTTGTACAGCTTAGCCTTGTCACTCTGAGTGATGACCTGCACCAGTAGACAGAAACCTGGCCACTGCAGGCAATTTCAGCTGCATCCTCTTGGACCAGGAAGGTCTTAAACTCAGACAGTATTTACACTCAGAGCCTATGCTGTTGCCGTAACAGCTGCCTTGGGCACTGTTTATATGTGACTGGATTCTACTTAAAGGCAACTTTAGAAGTTGTGAAGTGAAACTCAAATGTCTCAAATGTAGCATCTTTAATAGGGTAAACAACTCAAGAGAATACCTAGCAAGGGCTAAAGAAGTGCTTTAGAAAAGCATTGCAAGGTCCAGATTTCTGTTAGTCACTAGTGACTGCAGGGCAGTTACTAGTAGCGTGTAGTTATAACATTTAGTAGAGTTACAGTATTTAGTCTGAGATACCTCATGGCTGCTTCCTCCACAGGAGTCAGGGCGAGAACAGAGTTGGGGTAAATCTCACAGACTGGCCCTTGGCAGGCTGCACAGGATTATTATGCAGAGATATTCTTCTCTGGTTAGTGTTCTGCTTTACTTTCTGGAAGAGCAGAGATATGAAGATATACTTCAGTGAGTACACAACCACTTTTTAGATCAGCCTAGATCTTTCACCGAAATCTCCCCCTTTGGCCACAGTAAAGGAGGTAGAGGTGCAAAGCTTAACAGATATTTCACTCCTGTTACAGATACAACATCCCAATAGGCCTGCACGCCAACCTCTCCGAGGGCTCTCCTGTATGCGAGGTGCTCAAGACAAACTCTTCTCTGCTCAACCAAGATGGATTCTTCCATGGGAAAATGGGATTCAGAACAGCTCTATCAAAAGGTCTCTTGAATATGTCAGAGGTAGGAGAAAGCCCCGTGCAACTTGCTTTCCTGATACAGATCAGCCTGCTTTTATCCCAGGACATAACAGCTGCAGATCTTTTCCCAGGTCCCAGCTGTGAGTAAGCTTAGAGATTAATCTCAACTGTGTTGCCAGGGCAGCTGGAGCTGGCTTTCTTGGTCCTGAGCCTAATTCTGCCAGTCTTTGAGAACTCATTCCTCCCTGCTTCAGTGTCAGCATATACTAATGTCTTGTTAACTACTTATCTGAGGGACAGAAGAGGCATTGGAACAGATATTTACAAAGAACCTAGAGATCACTAAAGGCAAAATGCCAGAGAAGTGCCAAGTAGGCTTTTCATCACCTTGTGAGAGGCTTTTGTTCTCTAAGGAGATGGCTGGGTTTGCCCCATGATCAAGGATGAATGTTCAGGTGATCAAACTGCCTATGGGATATGAGCACCCATTTCCCCATTCACTTCAAAGGGAAATGGGGATTCAAATATCCTATGTATTTTAGAAAATCCCAGCATCAGCACCATCCACATAAACAGTACCATAACAAGAATCATGCCTAGGGGAGGTTCTGGGTAACCCAGCAGCACTGCATGTCCATTTCTACATCACAGCACTTTGTGCCTCCCAGGGCCAGGCCCCAAATGCTGGCCAGCAAGGTCTCCAGCAGCCCTCTTGCCCTCTCCTGATCTCAGCCTGCTGACAGGCTTTGCTCTGACCCTTCTCCACTGTGTAGGTGAAGCAGGAGCTAAAGGCCCAGGTGGAGTTGTTCCATGAGCTGACAGGTCACCTACCTCCTCACATGGATGGGCACCAGCACGTTCACGTCCTCCCAGGTAAGAGAGGAGTCCTCATCTTCCCAGCACCAAGCAGGTGAGAGAGTCGGAGAGTCAGCTCAGAGGAGACTTCCCTTGCCACCACTCCCTGTTTGGGCAATAAACCTTACCGTAAGATACTTGCTCTACAATTACAGTGTGAATATTCCCACCTGGGGAGACAGTCCTGCCCTAGCCCAAATTGGCTGATTGGTGACCTGGGTCTTCCTGTGGCAGTGCAAGGGGATTAACAGCACAAACAGCCCAGGTTACAGCTTTTCCTCCAAGGACTTAAGAGTTCACCTCAGCATCTTAATTACATACTCCCACCCACATCAAAGGAGGCAGGCTAGGGCCAGCAGCAGACTGGCCAGTTTAAATTGGAATGCTTGAGTTTGGGAAAGCTGGTAGCTCTTTCAGGTGTTAGGAAAAGTCCATCCTGTTGGTTGTATTTCCACACCAATCTCTCTCTGCAGGTCTCAGCATGCTTTACAGAGGTGGGCAAGTATCTTTGTCCTGTTTTGCAAATAAGGTCATTGTGGTAACAGAGATGGGAAACAATGTGCAAAACAATCCAGATTTCCCCACTCCAGCACTCAGCTGCGTCTGGATGACATCTCGGCAGTTTACCCTCACAGTGAATCTGGCTGTGCAGGGACTTGATGAAGAACTTGTTCCTGACAGTGCTGTCACCTCTGGTGCACTCTAGGACCAGAGTCACTAACTTAGAAGGGGGTGCTGGTTGCTCAGCACTGAAGGGGAGACAAGGCACCTATCACAGTTGTTGAGGGAGTAACGTTTCCAGTATAGAAGGGGACTCCCATCCAGATAGAGAAAACCATTTCAACAGAAGAGAAGCCAAATGGGATTATATTTTTTAAACACAGAAAGGAAAGACCTCTCTGCACTAACAGCTTTCAGGGGACACATTGAGCTGGTTATCTAATTCCCAACTAAAGTGTCTCTGTTTTTACTTACAGAGGTCAGGCACGTATTTGCAGAGGTGTTAGAGGAATATGGGATTAAGTACACACGTGTCCCTATCGAGCCAGGCCTTCATAACTGTGACTGGATTGCACCATCCTTGATGGACTTTTATCTGGGAGTAGAAGAAGATTCTTTTAACACAGTGGATGTGTTTACAAGGCATGGAATAAGGTAAGACAGGCATTACTCATCCTTTTTATAGTAAAGCTTGAAGATCTTACCAGTTCCCAATAGCGTCTTTTTAGAATGGAACACCACAGTTCTTTCCACTTAGGGCTTACAAGAAGGTTCAGGAAGAGTACAAAAGTACTGGGGGCACTAGGGCTTAGTAGGCACGTTTGTCTGAACAGAGATGACTCACTTCCCACCTGAAAGGGATTGTTCTTTTCAGGGTATGTTTCTCAGCCTTTCTAGTGAAGCAGCTGGGACGGCAAGAGGCTGAAGCACTGCAATTTTAGACATAAGATCTAGGGAAAGTTTTCAAGAAATAACTTTTCATCTCCCTGGAATAGTGGAGAGGGTTTTAAGTAGCAGGAAAGAGACTAATGAGAAACAAGTGTTTGCTCTTAAAAGGAGGCAAGAAGCTCAGCAAGCTTGCTACAGGGACAGTGCAGGGGAGTTTAGTGGAAACCTCACACGGTACAAGGGGGTGGTGTGGATCTACCTCTGAAGAGTCGCTGCTCCGGCGATCCACCCCTCCAAGAGCACAGGGAGAAGCTGTTGAAGCTGACCCCGAACCTCCGCCTTTATACCCCGCGGCACCGCCCCGCTGGGCCCGCAGCTGCGGCCGCCCCCGCTGGGGTACGCACCGTGCTCCACCTCGTCTCCTGGCGTCGGGGGAGGTGAGGGGGGATGAACTCTTACAAAAGAAACGTAATGTGAGGAAACCCAGGGAAATGAGAAGAGTGTGGTCAGCTGAAGTCACAGGGAACCCAACTCTGCAACTCAATTTCAGCATCTGTGTAAAGTGTTACCATACTGAGCCCCTAGAGTTCAGCTGCAACACTGGAGAGCACAGGACTCTGCTGACTGCATAGCAACAAGGCATTAGCTACTTTACAGTTAAAAAAAGTCCTGAAAACTCTTCTCAGAGCCAGGTGTTCAGTTGGGGTCTTCCTTGATCAAGCAGGTAAAGACCCCAGCCTTGGGTTCTTCCAAAAACAAACAAGCAAAAAAAAACCCAACCCAAACCCTGTCTTATTCTGCCCTTGCGTATACTTGCACAGCTCTCCTGCGCTTGTATGCACCACGCTAGAAGAAGTGAGGTTTGTAGCTAGACTTGAACTAAGAATTGTGTTGAAGCTACACAAGAAACAGCCTCCAGCTGGTGTCCTCTTAGCTGCATGGTCTCTAGTAGTAATGACGTTTTGGCCAGTGTTTTGTCTTTTATTATGGCTCTTTGATACATTCTAATGGAATGATTTGTTAGCAGGGTAGTTTGCATTTTATTTCAGTAATTTTTTTGTTTCCACTTAGTTGAGGGTTATTATCAAGAGATGGTTATTATTATTCAGGTTTTAATTGGCCTAGCAACAGTAAGTTATTTTGATAGTGTGTTATTTCTCAGTTTAGCTCTGCTCTGCCAACAAAAGGCACCTGTAAGCTCATGGATGCCAAACACCCCTTGTGCTGTGACACAATACATGTAAATACAGTACTACTAGAAGTAGTGGTACTGGGGCTTTGCTGGGATATTGTGTCAGACTGAAGAACTGCTGCTTTAAGTAGTATCCTGGTTCCAGTAAGGAAAGAAAAAGTGTTAAGGAAAGAAAAAGCGTTCCTGGCTTGTAGTTCTGGACTTTTGTTTGTAGTTAAAATTTTTAAAACACACCCACCCCCTCCCCTGCTTTCCTCGCTTAAGTTTTTAGGTACATTTTGATTCCTAAGCCACTGGATGTAATGCACTCTTCTAACTATTTCATTAGCATTAATATCAGTGTTCCCTCTGCTGGCTACAGGTGGCCAGACATTTACATAGGTTTGAGTACCATGGGCAAGAACATGTCTGTCAGTAACATCTGGAGCGCCATCGACACTGCCATTGCGGACGTCATGTCCAAGGCACCCTCACCCACAGACCCAATGGCACAGAGCAGGACAGTAACAATTGAACTGATGGTGCACCCAGGGTACCCGAGTGTCCCACCTGTGGGTGGCTGTGGGGAAGGACCAGATGATTTCTCACAGTCCTGGGAGCGCCTCCATGAACTCCAGACATTAATTAAGCCAGAGCTGCAAAGCCATTATAAAACCAGGAACATTCAGCTCTGTTCATTCAAAGATCTGTAAATAAACAAGCACACATACATTTATTCATACTCTGAAGATATGCAGTTGCTAATGTCCCGAGAAGCCAGACCAGTTACCAGTGTAATACCACCTGGTGCAGCTGACAGGAGCTGAAATGGCATTAGGATGTTCATGGAAGGGCAACATCCTGCGAGCAGCTACAGGCAGTACCCCAGAGCCCTGACTGGCAGTTTTTAGGCCACAGCATCGGCTTGGAGTGTGACAAACCTCTTCTGCCTCACCCAGGCGCACACCGTTCCGGCGCAGCGTGGCAGCCAAGGCCCAGCCCTCCTCCCAGGGCTCCGTTCCCACCAACGCGTTGGTGAGCAGCATGAAGACAGGCTTTGCTGTGAGACCAAGCAGCGCACTAGCACTCCGAGGGTTCTGGTCATTTCTCTTTTTGGGCTTAACTGCAAAAAAAAAAAAAGCAAGCTGCTGGGAAGCAAGTGCTGCTTTGGAGCAACCGCTCAGTGCAGGCTGCCCATGGGAGGCCTGGAAACCTTCAGCGCTTGGTTTTCTTAAAGCACCTAGTCACGGTCCCTTCCCCTCCGTCATGCCTGCCTGTCGATACTGAGGGGCACGTTACTTCAGAGCATTTCTCTGGCCAGAGCAGTTGGATCATGGGTTTAGCCTGGTGGCGTCTGGAGCCACATTCCAGGTACAGCCTCAGCCAGCAGTAATTATGGCTCTTCCTTTTTACATTGCCTCTTGGCATTACGCCACCATAGGAAAGTAACATCAGCCACAGCCCTTTCAGAGAGGCTTTTTTTTTTTTTTTGGATGACTTTGCAAGAACAGCAACTGTTGCCCCATCTGCTATTTCAGAGACTGCTGCATAGGAGAGCTCACCAGCAACTGTTCCTGCACTACCCACTGCCTCTCACAAAGGATGTGTGGGACGGCTGTGTACCAACTATGAGCAAGTTTTCAAGTGCAGAAGGTCCTTGTATGTGTCCGTTTTCATTCCTGTCATCAAAGCATTTGAACTTCAACAAACCCCAGCAATACTGATATGTTTAACTGTGTTCTTACTAACTGTAGCCCTGTCACTCACATGTAACTTTCACATGGACAAAAATATTTTAGATTGTTTATGCTCATTTTCTGCACAAAAGTGATCTATTTAACATAATCATTTTTGGTTAACTTTTCTAATATTAAAAATTTCCGTATGATCTTCATTCTTTTAAGTGAGAAATAAACTCAGGCCTTTTTCTACTGTAATGCTTCTGGAGGATTTTGATTTTAGTTATAGCTGGAGAGCAAACTAAACCCACTCGCCTGTCTGCTCTCACTGCAACTGCCTGCGGCACCTCTCTCTGTCATGAACAGGAACAGTTTCACGTCCCTATAAAACATCTGAGGAAGTTTTTGTTCTGTACAAATATGAACAACACCATCAAGGATGCTTTACAAAATATCTTCCCAGGTTCTTTCCTAAATTATTGTCCCAGAATTAATTTGATATATGAAAAGTTTGTTTTTTAAAAAGCCCATCTACTGTACTGTGCAAGTGCTACACCAAACGGCTGAGTCGGAGGAGAGCAGCAATTACCTTTTGAAATGACTCACTTTCTGAAGCTCGTCCCATCGGTGTGTGACAGCAAAGCTCCTGCTGTGCAGTAAGATAGAATAAAACCCTGAAATACAAGATCTGCAGGAATCAGCCGGAATGCCAGAGCACAGTTAGACCTGTGAGTGCCACCTAGTGACTGGTACTTTACTCACGTGCAGGGATAAGCCTGACAGCAACACCGGTTATTTAAAACCAGATCTCAGCTTTTTTATGTAATGTGACTGCATTTTGATGGATATTTCTTAACTTTATTTTTAACATTTAAACTGCTCCATATTCTAATCAATGAATTCTCTTTATCTCAATCCTCAGGATGTTACACACCTGTTGACTGGTGTATGCATTTTCTGCTAGCTCAACACTGTAAATGTGATGCACTCTTACCTTAGTTGTGTGTTGCCAACAAAAAATTATATATTTTGCAAAATCTGTACTTTTTAAATGAACAGCGTTAAGGCCCAAATCTTCTTTTAAATTCAAGGGCATTTTAAATGAAGAAATGAATAAAGAACTATTAGAAGACTTCTAAATAAGAACTTTTCAATTGTGTAAAACTACAGAGATAAGGAAGTTTCTCAGTGGTCCTATGAAAGCTGTAAAGACAACACCGAGTTCAAATTAAAAAACCATTCAAACCACTACCTATGAATATCATTGTACCAGGATGCTTAAAAAAACCACAAGTCTAACACCCAAATCTCTCTGAAAATAAAACCATGCCACAAAGCCTTTGAGAGCAATTTTTATTAGGGTAGCAGAATGGAGTTGCAGAAAGCCTATACCAGTGCTCCTGGGTGCAGTTTCACCAGTATGTCATTTTTATTTTGGATATTAAACTGCATGTTTAGAATTCAGCATGGCTTAGGGAACCAGAGAGAACCAGAGCTGGATTTCCTGAGTTAACATAGGACTTCATACTTTGATTTTTTTTTTTCTTCTCAGACTTCAACCGTACAGTACAGTATTTGATCTCTATCTTTTTTCAGCAGGCTGCCTATGAACAAAAGCCATCACTTAGGTTACACATCTTGCAGTTGAGAAACTGAACTATGAAGAACATGCCAAGAGAACTGATAGCAATATCTGTCTTTGTGTGACCTTTGCGGATGGAATCAGAATAGCTGGTGTAGCGCTGCTGTAGGCCTGTGCGAATCGACTGGAACTCCTTGAATTGCACAGCCCTTTCAGTTCCCTTTAACGGCATCCAAGTCCCACTGATTCAGATAAATGCAGTCTTTGACCTGAGAGGCTTACAACCAGAAAGTATACTATTTAGTAGTAATGAGGGCAGCAAACTAGTGCTACAGCTTTGTTTTAAATAAAAAGAGAACTTAGAAAGTGGCAAGTTTCCATGCCAACAGACATGATCCAAACGTACAGTGACTCATGTGATGCGGAAGTTACACACACTTCAGTTTGACAGATAATTTGGCATTATTTTATTATGAATCTGAGTGAGCGTGAATGAAACAAAATCAGTACCAACTTTCTGCAAATGAAGACACAAAGATGTGAAAATTTGGTAAAGACAGTGCTCTCACAAGCCTGAAAACACTTAGGAAATGCAAGTTTCCGTAAATAAGGTGAATGTGGTTTAACTTTATTTACCTGCCAAAGAATCTGTCTAAGAACACTTAAACATAAAATTTCTTAGCTCCGTAACTTATAAAAAAAATTGACTTTCAACAGAGGTGAGGTACTGGGCTGTCATTGTTTACACTAAATCGGAAAAGAAAGCTGGATGAGAAGGATGAATGAAGAAATAGCAAATATACAAGACATTAAAACCAAAAGAGACCTACCGCTTGACACACTAGTTCTGAAAGGTTGCAAAGGCAGAGGCTGTATTAAAACTGCGTTTAGGAGTACAGACGACCATCTGGGTGTGAGGGATTTTCTAATTCAGCTTCCTGCACATCAAAATGATATGTACTCCCAGATACCTAAGAATTTCTGGAGATAAATCTGTTTGCTCAGTAACATACCCAAGTTCGACAGGCGGGGAAGAGACAGCAGTTTGACTGTATGGCAGTTTGACTGTGGAGCTACAATCACACTTCGGACTGGGGGAAAGAGACAGGCAGGCAGGAGAAAAAGCAGAGACACAAGCAAAGGATGCTCGTTCACTTCTGAGCAGAAAGGGCTTCCTGCAGCATGTGTAGGCGTGCCCTGGAGCAAGGGGAAAAACAGCTCTGCCTGATTAAGTTAGAATGATAGAATGATACTTGAAGTACTCATTGAATCATCTAACCTGTGTGTTTTTAAAACACAGGAACAGCAGTAGTGAAGCGTACTCTATTACAGGTTATTGCTTAATCCTCTTCCCATACCATTTTCAGTAAGAACTGTACAGCAATTGGGCTGGGAAGTGGCACGAGTGCCATCCCACAAGCCACAGATGTTTCATACTCATTCTGATGGAAAAATGTTCTAAGAAGGCTAGCAGTGCTGTCAAATTTAGTACTTAAGTTCAAAATTAACATTTCCAAAATACCGATTTTTAACTCAAAAAAACCAGTTTATAACTTTGGTACCTCTTGGTCCCCAATTTCTGAAATTCTTCTAAACTGGTTGCAATGTTGTTCTGTGCCCGTGTTCCTAGCTACTCTGCATAGGTATTAAGAATAGAAGTGAAAGAAGTTTGTAATCACATTCCACTACTCGCTTACTACAGAATTTTTTTTCCAAAGCTTTCCAAAAGCAGGACATAAGCCATATTTTAATTCAATCACGCACACAAAAACTTGGGTTTCCCCGTTTAATAAACATTTTGTGGTAACATCAGCCAGATTTACATAAGACCTGGACATTCTTTCTGATTGTTTTTGTGGGGTTTGTTTGCTTTTTGTTTATTATGTTACAAACTGAAATTAAGGGGAACTTGCAACAAGTCCCACAAAGCACAGTGCAACATTTAAAAAGAAAAGTAAACAAAACTGCCAAACACTCAATCATTTTCTGCCAGAACTGGGATTTTTTTTTCTAAGACATCAGTTTGGGGAGGGGGAGGGATAAAATTCAATGAATAATTAAATGAACTCAAGATAGTGGGAACCGCAAGGAAAAATAAGAAATGACAGCCACAACCTTTTCAATTTAAGGGCAGAATATAAGTCTAAGATATTTTTGATAAATTCTGACAAGAAAAAGAAAACAGCATACTTTAAAGTATATTGAAGCAGTGATTTTTAAACAAAGAAAGCAGAACTAGAACATCTTAAATTTTAATCCTTTCTTTACAGGTTACCTAGCCCACTTTTGATTAAGAAAACTGTAGAAAGTTAGTAACAGCCACAAGTTAACACCGAAAGGTGGCACTTGTCATTTTTCCATAGAGTCCTGCTTTACGGGGTGTCTGAAATGCACTGCTCCGATCTTCTATCATACGTTGCTGACATCAATTGTGTCAGATTTTAGTCCACTGGTCGCTTTTCACCATATTTCTTTGTAAACTCTTCAGCGTTCTTACAGAATTTTTTACGGTCCTTAGAGTATTCTTCAGCTAGGTCAGCCCGAAGGGGATGCTCAGGCTGTGGATCATTCACCAGTGCTATGAGGGACTGGATTACTGTCAAAAGAAGTATAAATACTGTCAGAGACTAAGGTGGTTAATTTTTACAAATCAAAATTTAAGCAAAATTCCCCAGTAAGAAAAGAGCTTTAACTGCATTTAAATACATCCCTATAAATCTAGGGTCTTTTCAAAAGCAAAGCATGAATAAGCTATAGCAATATGCCAAGGTTTAGTTCAATGACCGTGAATGAACACCAGAAAATTGTATTTCTAAACAAAATCAACTGGAATAGACACCAAAATGCACAACAACTTATTTCCATGTAACTGGCATCCTATCGGAAATACTCTCCTACAGCTAAGAAAGAAACTAAGTTTCACAGACAAGTCCATCTAAAGGCCTTGGGTGAAGATGGAATTCCATTAGGAAACATTTTTTCCTAACACCTGTCACGATGTGGCAGTTGTAACTGGCCCTGCTTTCCAAAAACATTTTTTTTCAGCTTTGTTTTTCCTACAGAAACAGCAGACAGTTCTTCCCTTTATTCTAAGCTGCCAAATACCTCCTCTAGCAAAAACACCCTGGGCAAACAAATGGGTAAGAGCCACAAGATGCTTTTCACCCTGCTGTTTACAGCCATTCATCAACGTTCAAACAAAATGTTGTTCTTAAAATCACTGAACAGTACTTGACATTTACGCAGTGAACCTCGCGTACTAGAACGACATTTATTGCTCTCATGCATTTAAAGCTAGATCGGTTACAATGACCAGGACTTCTCCTATTCATCCACTAAAAGGTATACGCATAACTGGGCAAGTCTACAGAAAGCGGGTACACAGAAACATTTCACTGTGCGACAATATTAATAAATACTCGGTTTGAGGTGAGTTTGGGCAACCCAGAGTAATACAGAGCAGCACCCAAAAAGTTTTTGAAGCAGTATAACAAAGTTGTGTTAACTTCCTGCACTGCACATAGAGCCAGCTGCCTCCTGAACTCTCACAAAACACTGACACCTACACCATCCAGTGGCAGGGAGTTCCACAACTCCACCACACATTGCGCGAAAAGTCCGTGTCTGTTTGTTCTGAAACTGCTACTTTGCAGTTTAACAGGATTCTCCCTTGTTTTGCAATTAAGTTCTTACAATCCCTACCACTCCAGTAGATGCTAAAATACCAGAGTGGCTTCTTTCAGAGCATCAATCTTTTAATGCTCATACTCTTTGCCACCCTTACATGACGGGAATGGGGAACATACCTCAAAACAAATACTCAAAATCCAGAAGTATGCCCGTTGCTATATTGCTAAACAGGAACATTTCTTACCACAAATCAAGAGTTTAAACGGCAACAAACTAAGGCATGCAGAATTCATACTAGCTGACTTCACAGTAACTCGCCTGTCCTGGACTTAGGACAACTGCCATCATATTACTGACTACTCATAAAACGAGCATCAATGCTGCACGTGACAATCCCTTTTCACTCAGTAAAACACGCTAAAACCCTACAGAGAAAGTGTTACTGTGTTACTAAGGTTATTTAACACACAAGCCAGTAAAAATTAGGATTGTCATAACAGCAGTTGCCTCAACATCCACAGCATTTTAAAACTATACTGTCACAACAATCTGTTTTAGTATTAAGCATAAATTAATAAAAAGTACAGCAGTAAGATGCACATTTAGTGTGTGAAAGGTGAGTTAATGATTTATGATGAACCTAATCTCTCTGCTTTCTTGACAGCTGACTGATCAAAACCAATCACTTTGATGCTGTACTAATAACATTGCATTATTTCCTTGAGAAAGGCCCAAGCAGCAAACAGACTGCAGTTTATTTTTCAGTGCAGAAGAGTTCTGGAGAAAAAGGAATACACACTTAAGCAAGGGCTGCAGTAACACTGTTGCAGGTTCATACAAGGATGACACAAACAAGACATTGACACAAAAATGACTTCTTGAAGAGTTAGACAAATGAAAGCCCACAGAACAGCAGAAATAGATTTGCAATATTTTGGTACCCAGGGTTTGTTCCAAATTCTGATTTTAGCATAGTTCTTATCTGCTCTCTCAGATAAAAAGGGAATTGCTACTTTTCAGGGAGACACTATTTCCTACATGCAAACCATTGCTTCAGTGGTTCCAACTAATGCCAACTTGCATTTCAAGCTAGGCAGAGACATGTCCTTCCTTTTTTTAACTAGAGAAGGCTCGTGAGATCAAGACGACTGCTGAGGTGTTACCAGAAACCTTCTACACCTTGTTTCCATTTCATCTTTCTCCTGTATAGCCTGGGATAAATCAACAACAAACCCTAAGACGTTCACTGACCTATGTGAGTTTAACAGGCTCTTTTTGCTGCCACCTCTGCTTTCCCCAACATTCAGCTGCTTGATCTTGTCCCAGACAACTACTGGAATTTTCCTATTTTGTCTTTGGGGCGAGATCATGCAAACTGTAAGTAGTTTTATTAGCATACAGAAGTACACAGAAAAAAGAAGTCTCAAGTACAGCATTGTTTACTATCAGGAACACAGGTCAAGTGAAACAATCCTTAAAGATGAGCCTGAAAGAAGGAAATACTTTCTCCTGCAGGGCAAGATACTTCAGTGTCACTGAAGCTCTTGCACTAAACTGCTACTCATCTGAATTAATATTATTAAAAAAATACAGTTTTTGCGAGGTTGTTTGCTCTTTCTATATGTGCAACAATAAATGCTTAATATCAAACTAATCATTACCTGCCAGAAAACATGAAATTCTCACCCCAACAACTAGTGGAAGCAACAACAACAGTTGCATGCTGTGCTCACAACACGTGATTCATAATGCAAACCTTACAACAACAAATATACATAAGAACAGTTTACAAGAGCGTAAGACCAGCTGACAAGCTGAAACACTATTAGCTTTAAATTGAAACGCAATACGGAGTTTCTCGGCATCCAGTTCCTTCTCCACCTGGAGTCCTACCTTGGTCAGTTTTGGTTGCTGGCTTCCAGTTTTCAGCACTAATTACTGGCAGACAAACCTGCCCCTTTTCATCGATGTTAGGGTGATAGATCTTTGTTTTAAATGTAATCTTAGGAGGTTTGAATGGATATTCTGCTGGGAAGTTGATTTCGATTCTGAAGGCTCCTTTATCATACGGAGGATTGTCCTGCAACAAGAAGGCAGAATGTCAAGAATCTGGCATGTTCTGATAGATACAATTAAGAAAAAGCATGCTCCAGACTTCGATCTATCAAATGACCTCTTCTAAAGGCACTTTCTTCCTACGCATATCCATGTCTCTGTGTCAGGAAACAGGAAAACCTACTTGTTAAGACAGAGGCGATACCTCCTCTACAGCATTTGTATTCACCCTGGAAAAAGCAGATTACCACTGTTCTGAAGTTGACTGACATTTCTCCAGTAAGAAAACATCCAATCTCCTTTACTCCAAACTCAAGGTCCTACCTAGTAAGTAGCTTTATTCGCAACTTTGTATTTCAAAAAACATTGCAAACCCTTCCTGAGATACAAACAGGAAGCCTGACAAGGAAAATTGGTTTCTTTAAACCTAGTTATTTTACATGTCTCTCAACATGGTGGTATGAACAGCAAAGCAATTTGATTTGTCAGATTTCCCTATATGTTCTGAGAACATTTTTGTGCTGACTACACAAAAATCTGCTGAGCATTCGTTGTTACTAAAGATAGATATTCACTGCGTCTGCTGATGAGAACATTCTGAATTTGTGTGCAGTTTTAGCACCCACTCTTATCAGATCATTTTTGAAGGAGCATGATGAGAGAACCGTGAAGTAAGCAAAGTAGGTCTTCATGCTGAAACAGAAAAAACAATGCCCACAATCTCATTTAGAAAACCTGTTAGACTATTGATACTGCTTCAAATAGTAACTGCAGAAGAAAGGCAGAAGAAAAATAAACCATTGCTACATGTAAAGCATCTGAAAATACCCTCTGCACTGAAATTAGTAACTATGGCATGAAGCCTTTCCAAACACTCTGGGAATCAAAAGACGAGTTTCCAGTTGGCGTAAAGTATAATCTCACACATTCTTCATTAGGAAGCAGACCATTCCCTGCAATCAAACCCACTCCAGAAGTTAAAAAAAGGTTTACCAATATTTGGGGATGGGGAGTGTGTTATTAACGTATTATTCAACAGAAAACATTTAATTTTAGTTTCACCCATACGGAGAAGTCTGGTTGTGCGTTTCTAGGAAATAGAGCACAATTTTTGCTGTGTATTGCTGTCCAAGGAAAAGGTAACTAGAATGGCTCTAAAAATCACTTTTTATCCAAGCAATTCTAAAAGCTTTGGAAGTTTAACAAATCACTTTGTGGTGGTGGTGGTGACAGCTTAAGCAGTAAGTGCCCTCTCCCTGCACAGCTCACTTGTTTTTACCTCCATCACATGCTATAATTTGTGAGGATGTTCCGTAAGCTGATACAGGAACTGACCTGGCTTAAAAGTGTCCATTTTCTGCTTGACTGTCAGTCAGAACACCTCTCCACCATTACTCACCAACTAAAAACGTATGTAAAGGGTTGCTCATGTTTTAAGTAGACAAAACACAGAATATTCAAGCAATTAATTTCCAATAATTTGTTGTATTTATTTTAGCACTGACAAGGGAGACAGAATTATAAATACTAAACACGAACGACAAACACAACTCACATTCACCTGGAGTACTTTTGCTGTGCAAGTTTGTCCATAGCAAGCAGTTTTGATTAACTGAAATTAAATTCATGGTAGACCAACAGTACCTCTTACCAGAGCAAGGAGCCTGGGATAGGCAGTCTCATTTTGATGTTGAAGTCAAACAAATAGTGCACCTTTTCAACATACAGGACAAACTATCTTATTCTACAGTTTATAAAGGAAAAGAAGTTGACAACCTATCTTCAATCTGCTTCTTCATTGAGCAAACACCCTTAAAAACTAACAGGTGTTCTGAAGAACAAAATATGTTACATGCAAAAAATTCTGAGGTGTATCCTACACAGTGATTCTGTATGAACACTATTAAAAATATTAACCTTTGTCTTTCACATCTTCATTAAGAAACTGACCAAAGTAATGCCTACTTAGAGTTTAATAATCAGTAACTAGTTAGTCCTGCTAAAGTAGGAATAATATGTCTTTAAACCCTAAGCAGGAACATTTTCTAAAATGGAAACAGCACAAAAAACTTCAAAAGCAAAAACTCAGCAAAAAAGTTAAACTTGCAACCAGTTTGTATATTACTTTAAGCCAAACTCCAGCATTGCAATACCTAAAAAACCCTTATGCCAAGACTAAAGCATCTTCTATAGCGTATCCTCAAAATAACCATACTACTCTGTAAACGCACACAACACACTAATAATTACTATCATAAGTATAATTTCACAACAAAACTCCCTCTTACCCATACCAGTAGTGAATTTAAGGCTAATTCCCTTGCAGCAGGGCACATTATAAATCCAAAGGCAGGTATGAAGCACAATTCACTGCAACGACGTTTAAACACTTGTGATGATGTGAACCTTTGCAAAAAACCCACTAAGGTCATACTCACTAAGGTGAGCAGAAACTGTTAAAAATAGATACTGTACACTACATACTGCTAATTTTAACAGGAATAAACAAGCACTTTGGTGTTTTTCTTTATTAGTCATATTTACCAACCGTATAGTGCTTCGAAGTATTACCAAAACAATGAACTCTTACATATGAACCACAAATACCAGAGCAGCTTATTAAAGTGTATTGTTGCTCAGCTCTGTCAAATTTTAATGTCAAATCCTGCTTGCTTTATTTGCAAGAGTAGCCTCAACCACTCAAAGGAATTACTTGCAGGAAGACAAGTAAACAGTACACTAAATGTATTCTACAGTATTTAGAGTGCAAAGGCCTAGCCAACATCTCAGCCTGTGTGATCTGAATTTGGGAATGACCGCCAACTAACAAAGTGGAGAAACTGCTACGAGATGTTTCCCAGCCTTACAAAAGGACAGATCTACTTTGGTCGGGGGACCTTTTTGGTAGAACCCAAGTAAAAGCAGAACTGACATCCTGGTGGCACAGCTTCTATTGCTGCAGACTTAAAAGTAGCTCGTGTAACAAAAGGAGCATGGGCCATGGCAGTGGAAAATAAAGGAGGTGAAAATCCAGGTGAATTCACCACACTACGTTTCCCATTTTCCCCTCAGTAACAAATCCCTCCCTATTTGACTAACACCATGGTTATCTACTTCTATTAAACATTCTCTTAAAAGACAGTAGTGTTGTATACAATTAAAGTGTGTATGTGTGGGTTGGCATTAATTAATGCCTAAATAAAGAGACTTTTTTTTTAAAAGAAAGAGCTAATTCTAAAATTCAAACATTTTCTTTGCATCAAACTTTTTCCATTACTCAACTTTTTCCTAGAAATAAATCTAGTTGATTAAAAAAATAAATCTATTAAGGAGTAAACAAAGTATTTCAGACCTCAGAGGTTTTTTTTTTTCTTCCTATGATGATGTAGATTTTGTACTTTTAGCTTAAGGTAATAAACAACACACCTCACTTGCTTCCCCCTTCCAACACCTCTCCCAAGTACCCCAGTGCCATCACTGAGTCCGCAGCACTCGCCAGCTGCAGCCGTGTCTTGGACCAGGCCTACAGTTATGAAGCATCCAGGCAGGTATCGATCAGAAGTCTAGAACACCTTTCAATTACATATGGATTTTTCTTTACGCTAGTTATAGAAACCGCCTACTAACATTATCAGACTTCGATAAAACAAAACAAAGACGACACTCAAATAAAATGAGACAGGAAGATGACACAAGATGTCTAAAGAGAGATGAGAATTACATCCAGGAGCACACTTCACTGCCCAGAGTATGTTTAAGATGCTGCAGTATAATCTATATAAACTTACGTTGTGTCTATAAACAACTAGCTTCTGCAGAAACCCACAACTCTGAAAACCAGGTTTTACAATAATAAAAGAGATTCTTGTCAGGGTACAAAAATTAACTAATGGTCACCAGTAGCACTACTAAACTGTGGATTTATGAGAGTCAAATGATCCTCACTTTATTTTAAAGCTCATTAGAATAAGGAGTAGCCTATACTCACAGGAACAATAAGCCCTTGCCAAGTCAATAAATTAGCTTCATCAACCTGGATATTACGGAAGTTTTTCATTCCACATTTGCGGATTTCTTCAAGCTCCTGAAAAGCAAGCAAAGTGTAAGTTAATAACAGTATTAAGCAAGATGCTCATATTTATTTTTCAAAGTGCTTAGAGGTCACCGTGGGTGTCTTTAACATTAAAGAAGCTTGAGGTTTAACGGTAGCAACCCACACAAATAAGAAATAAAGTTTTGCACTAGTGAGAAGTAAAACCCTCTGAGACAAGGTATTAAAAAAACACAACACCCAAACACAACCACTTATTTTTTGATATGTCAGGAAAATAAAAAAAAAGTCTTGTTATTACCATCATTACAGACACAACAAAGTAGAAGTCTAAAAACATTCTTAAAGGCACTTTCTTTAATATCTCAAATGCAAATCAGTGCCTTTGGTAACGGACTATTGATAACTCTGTGAGGCGAAAAAATAAAGCGCATCTTGGGAATTGTCTGAAGGAAAGCAGTGATTTGGAAGGATTATTTCCTAACAGTGTTGTACATGAATAAAGTCACTGAACAGGCCAATTATTTCAACTGAAAACTAAAATTCCTGCATGACCAACTTAAATTGATACAAACCCAGAAAAATATCAATCTAGGCCAAACTAGCCTTATTTAGACCAATAACGTGAGAAGATACAGCTTTATCTCCGTTTTGTACCTCACAGTTAACAGCAATAGATTAAGATACCTTTCTTTATAGCTGTATCACTCTTGAACAAGGTATCTTTCTGCACCAGACAATCGCCAGTCAAACTGGTTTTGATCAGTTAGTGATCCAGGTATCACCAAAATATGTATTTAAGAATTTTTATATTTAGACTGATGTATAAGCCCTAGTGTAGCGACTGTTTCCTACAGCATTTCATAAGACCTGAAAAGAAACACCTCAAGGTGTGTGTTGTCCCCCCCCACTTTTTTTTTTCCCTCCATAACAACTATAGCCCTTCACTGGTGAATTCAGCAGTTTTATCTTTAAAGAGAATTTAACTGAATTCAAATTCAAATCATCCACAAATGAAATACAAAACTTTCCCAGTGCTTTCAAAACTGAAGCACATGCCTATGTGTCTACATAGGTTAGGAAAAATGTTGCTTATACAGCAACACTGGTGCACTCTGCCAGCTCACAGTTCTTCACCGGGTGCTAGCGTATTTGCAAAAGTAGACTGGATATTATTACGATAAAAGCACCATCTATAAGCAAAGGCACTATACACTGAAAAAAAAAATCAGTTTTCCTGGTACAAGTGTTGTACTGTCCATGTTTTTGGTTTGTTTTTTTTCCCCCCTAAGAGAGCTCTATGTTTATCTTAGACCAAAACTTCCTGCATCTGACTGGCAGAGCTTTAATACTTGTAGCAATCTCTTGCTTAAACTTAGCATCATGGTAAAATGCAAACCCAAAGGGAAAATGAGATTTCCAAATGCACGTTAAAAAAATAATTTAAAAAATTCACATGACAGCCACATGGAAGATGAACATTTACATTCCCACCCACTGCACCTACAAAGGCAAGAGCATACTCAGAATACAGAGGTTTAACCTTGGAGTCTTGGATATTGAACTGACGCCCAACACAATCTTCACAACACTAAACCCGACTATTTAGTCTAGACCTGTGGATTAATCCCCAAATTCCACCGCTGCTAGATTTACACAATATCACAGATGATTTCGCCATTTTTTTAAAAAAAGGCTAAGAGGATTATCCTATTTCCTTAAAGCAGGAAAACATTAAAACCCCCACAAAAATGATCTCATGAAGCACATTTATAGGGATACAGAACAAACCAAAATACTCAAAAGAAAATAACCTTTATTATCACAGCTATAAGAGATCCTTTAGGATCACTGACACTGCAAATCCAGACAGTGCCTTACAGGGGCTCTGAGTGCCCCGAGCAACGGCTCAGGGAGAGTCTGACTGGGACCAGACTGACTCTTGCCCAACAGGGTCAGGGGAGCAACTCGCTCCCAACAGCGTTTTGAGCTGCTCGCTCTCTACTCATACAGAACTGTCAAGTCCTGGCAAACCACCACTCCACAGCAGGTAAAAGGGATAAAACCCATTCCACACTAGATGTAACACACCAAGCACTGGGAACAAAATAGCTAATTAACCGGTAGGTATTTAAGCATGAATAAACATGCATCACAAGGGCCTTCACTCTAATATAAGGAAAGGAAAATGACAATTTTCTAGTTACTGTATTAAAAACATTACACGTACAACAGAAATCTCCCCATTAATGTCCCAACGGGAGTGCAGCTTCCCTGCAGAAGCTTTTATCACAGGTTCAGATGACAGCATTACACTGCTTCTGGCCCAGAGAACAATTGCCCAGACACAGAAAAAGGGAGGACTATGGTTCTTTAATTCAGGTATGTTATTAAGCTAATAAAACAAATTAGAAAAGCATGGCTTCACGTTACTGGAAAATTAAACACCTACATTTTATAATTAGATTCAGGTTAAAAAAATTGGATGCTGAATTAAGAAATGCAAGAATCCAGTATAGAGATCACTACAAAATTGTAAAACTTTGTGTGAAAGCAAATAAAATTTTAAAACAAATATGCAATTTGCTCCCTGTTTTCCCTGAGGTCTACCACATGAGAGAGGGAATTAAACAGCCCAGAAGACACTAAAGAACTAGCAGAAAATGATTCAGGACATCTTTCTCTAAACTGACACACGAAGCCTTTGCAGGAATTCACTTTCAAAACCAAACCAAAAAAAAGGTGGTAAGTTACTGCAGTGTATCAGGACATATCCTGTGCTGCTCCTGCTGCCTTGGGGCCGGCGGTAGTAATTGACAACCAAAAAAGGGACTAGATGGGGATAAACCTGGCAATTCTTTTCCTTGCACACAGGCATGGCTGCAACAGTCATGGAGAATCAAGCAAGCCTACCTTAGCAGAGGTCTTGCCTGAACTACACGCTCAAGACAGGTTCCAATTTATAAGAGAAATTACTTTTCTTATACTAGAATTGTTTAAGATTTCATATGTCACTCCAAATTAATCAATACCACGTTAGACTTATTTACAAATAGCGCTTTTTTTTTCCATACCACTATCCCCCCCCAAATACAATGTTATAAGCTTTTAGGGGTTTTCTGTCTAGTGCATCAGGAGTGGTAAGAGATTCCACATTCACAATTTAAGGGGGGTGTGGGGGTGTGGGTGTGTTTTGTGTGTGCTGGTTTGTTTTTTTTCCTAGCAATTGCCAAAACCCATAATAAAGATCTAACTGCCTCAGAACTACAGAGGCAGACACAACTACAGTATAAATGTACTGTTAAAAAAGTGAATGAGCTATTACATACTTTCAAACAGCACAGATTAAAAGTTAATACTGCATTTAACATGGGCTTCAGCAACTCCAAAGGGACAAAACTTATGAGGGAGAAGGATGTAGTCCAGATATTTATTTCAAAATAATAATAAAGAGTCTAGGCAGACAGTAAATAAATTAATTCCTTTTCTTGTCCTCCACCCCTTAATTTTGCCAAGTAACATAATTAAAGGAGCACAGGAGGAGTGTAACTAATGGTTAGAAGACTGCAGTATAAATTTCAATCAGTCTTTCATTGCCCGCTCTGTTATCAACCTTGCACGTGACCTTGCTGCATTGGTCTCCCCATGTGTAAGATAGGAACGTTGTCTCAGTTCACAGGGCTCTCGAGACATGCTGTTTGTAGTTTGGATATGTTCAGAGAAAGTGTTATACACAGCACATGAAATGGAGAAAACATTGTTTCAGAGGTAGCATCTGATCTTCAAGTATAACGCTGCAGGTAGTCATAAAAGCACATCCTTTCTCTCATGTACAAATAAGGAGTTAATATTTTTTATTTTCAATATTGTGTAATAATTTGTGCTGTTCAAAGCAAAAATTACATGTTTGAAATTAAAAAGTGGCATCAGCTTAAAACATAGTAAGTCTTTTAAAAACCCTGCAACTGTTTTGCCCACACATCTTTCAAGTTTTGGGACTTCTCTAAAAACAAACAACCCCAAAACAAAAAACCCCACCAAGCCAGACAGGAAAATGCAGTGCAGACAAACACTTGTCAGAGTGCAATCCAAGAACATAGGAATAAGTTTAAGTGCTCATACTGACTTCAGCAAGTTCTGCATCAAGCCCAAAATGCTATTAAATGCACAAGAGAAACAAAAGTCCACTGAAATAACTCTAAACCATGTTTCTCTACTGTTTACAATTTATCTTTACCTCTTGATAAATACATTCTCTAAGAGAAGTGTGACAAAGTTAAACAGGCTCCAAGACACTGATAAGGAACTGGCCAGTTTTACTTATGAAACTCATACACTACAGAGAATTGTTAAAACATCTTAAAATCAAGTATAATTAAAACAAACAAACGAAACGACAAACACACACAACACAAAACCAACCAAAACCCCACAGAGATTCTAGCTCTTACATGAACTAAGTTTCCACTGCAAGATTACAACCCTCTATACTCACATGCCTTTTATTTACTAAGTAAAACTACTTATTGGCAAAGTGTTTTCATTCGATTAAAAATCCTTTTGTCAATTCTCAGTTTCAAGAAGGGAAAATGAATCCATATTCTCACTTCTGTATAAGGACAATCATATGTTGCTAAAAAACCACGTTTCCCTTGTTACTGATAACCGGCATTTGGATCAATTTAGAATTGTTTCTCAAATATCAAAGTTGTTTAAACCTCCTTTATCTGAAGGGCTATGGTGTTTACAAGGCCACAGCACCCTGGCGATTGCAGGCCACCTACAGCAGGTACCTGGGCGTGGCTTCACAATTGTATTTTATCATGGAGTTCAACAGCTGCATCAATGTTTGACTATGCAATTATGGAAGCAGAGTAAAAACAGTAAGATTAAAATAATTGTCTATGTACCTCACTTCATATGTGAAGTTTTGTTTACTCCTTAAATCTATTTTCAATACCAAATACACTTTTGAATATCTAAAAAAACAGGAAACAAAAGCATGGCTCTTACAGACACCTTAGCTCGATCATATCGCAAAACACCACAGAAGGGAGCACCTACACGGACAGGACAGCCTTCTCAAATACTACCTAAAAACGCCTATTGAAGGTGCGTCTCCACCACGTTACTCCACCAAGGAAGTAGTACGACTATCCAGCATTGAACTAGCCTTCCCTTTGCACTACCGACTACCTCTCCACATAGCACTTAGCTATGGATCTCACATGGAAAATGACTTGTTTTACATTAGCGGGTGGCAACTGTGAAAAGCATTTCATTGAAATCTCTGGCATGTCTCTTGGAGATCGATGTTCCCAATCATCCATGTTTGGAGACAATTTGCTTTTTATGAGAAAGAGTTGTGAAGCAAAGTAGCTCTCTTAAAAGAGAAGCCTCATATCCTTTCCTAAATATCACAACTCCGTATTTGCCTGGTTTTACCCTGAGAGATCATCCATAACAACATATCCTTGACAAAGACTGCTTTAATCCCACCTCTTGCATTTTGTGAGGAGTCAAGATCTGACAACTGTGGCTCTTTGAAGAGGTGTAATGGTGGCTCACAGATCCAAACGCCACCTCAGATGTCGCTGGAATACAATTCATTACCCATGTTTATTTCACATTTTTGCTAACCTAGGTGTGCTCCCGGGAAGGGCACATATCCACTAATTTTTTGTAAATGAGGAGAGAAGACTTCAGTTAGACTATTTGATAGTATAAAACTCTGCAAAAATAGACCATAAACAGGGTCTTTGGCCTAGGAAATGTAATTTGCTCAAACAGAGCCTGAGATACAAGATAATCTTATTCTTGTTATAACTTGACTTCATGTTTAAAATGGAACCGTACAAGTACAATGGCAAAATTTGTAATACTTCTTTCACAAGGTTTGCAAACTGAAGATACAAATGGCTTCCACAACCTGAAAGGGACTCCCATTTCCACTTGGAAGGTGGAAACTATACTCATGCTCCCAGTTTTCTACATGCTGACAGCATGTTATTATGAACTTACTACATCCAGTCTCTTTGAGCCACTGTGATTAATATAAATAACTATGATGCATGACAAGTCCAGGAAAAATGCAGTACTTCAAAATGTTGGCAAGACCTTAAGGAAATGGGAATTGCTTTATTTTATGTGACCTATAAAAGGTTTGAAGTTTATTCTCACTTACCAAAGACAAACTTGGTATTTAGCTCAAGGAAGTGACAGTTAATGCTTATCCTAAATTATTTTAAACATAACTGAGTGACACACTGAAAAACTCTATTTCCTTTAGTTATAATCATTCATCATTCTACGACCCCCAGAAAGACACACCACAGAATCTTCCATACTGCAAAACTCCAACAATGAAAGACTT